TGTAGGTGCAAACTCACTCACCACTGTTCACTCCTTTCAGCCAAGTTAAACCAAAGGTTAGCCACAAGTGTCACATTGGGATCGGTCTTCGAGTGAGCATAGCCGACAAATGACGGTTGCACGAACATGGTCGCGCTTAATTGACGTCAGTCAGCGGGGTGGTGTCATCGAACGTAATATTTATGAGATTCGACATGAAAGATTCAGCAGAATGTGACAAGATGGAAAACGTGAGCGTCGCCGCGACTATCAAGGCCAAGTTATTGTCGCTAAATCCAAGCTGTGAGCGTGATCTCACAGTCCTCGCTGCATCCCATTGACAGTCTCATAATTTTGCCATGTTGCATTTCCTAATCGCTTCTTTTTGTTGGATTGTGCAGAATGAAGGTCATGCTGTGTAACGGCAGCTCAGACTGGGACATCTCGATTTCTCCACTATTTTTGTGGCATTAAACACAAGTGTAATTTCATCGATTGTACCTTGGCTGTTATCGGTACTTGCATCGCCCTGTAGCCACATTTCAGGTCCGACCTTAAGTCACATCTTTCATTACACTGGGCATTGACAGCTTAGTGTGAAAATCCGTCTGACGTACATGTGGTCTACTATGTTGATGAGGCGTATTGTCTCAGTTTGTGCCACTGCCGACGTCTGACCACGTCGATAACTGCATTTTTTAGTTGTGTCACCTGTGCTCCTTATAATCTCTTTCATCGACGTTCTCTGCATACGGTCCCCTGCGGCTGCCATTCTTCACATAACCACTTAAGGCTCCGCACATAATACAATATCATCGACGACGCATCTGTCTAACGGCCACTTGTATTCTATCAACACTCTTCAAAGATCTCTACTCTAAATCTACTTCCGTGTTATACCATCCAAGTACCGGTATCATGTGCGAATACATCAATAGGTAGCGCTTCACAATTCTCACGAAACAGTTGACGGCATTCAATAGGAGTTCCTGTTTTAAATATCGCAGCATGGAAATGCGAATGTCAATTAAAGCAGATTAGCTCTTTGTCTCATCTCTTCCTGCAGCATTTACAGGATTAGTAGGAAGCCGACTGAGAAAGATGACTGGTTTCACACTTTTAGGGTGTCAGTCATGGATACTAACCGAAGCCCTTTTAAATTGCTTTTAGCTCCTTTATTGGATCCATCACTTTCGGTGCTTTAAGTTTGGTCATTTCCGTTTGTTTGTCCATTTTGATATGCGCTGTTCTTGGCCTCAAATCTCCTGGTAACTTTCAGCCTTGTTCGTCTTTATGCGTTTTTCCTCAAATTCATTACTCATTAATAGTTACCTTTCATCAGATAAGTTCCCCCTAAGTTGGTTTGTCCTTAATCATTTGTCGATTCCTTTTGCTAGAGTTGCCGTTTCTGACTGTTGTCAGCAGAATCGTGTGTGTACCTTGGCATTAAGCGCGATTTTTCCTAATAGTACCAAATTCAATAAAAAATTAACCGATTCGACAAGTTGTCATTACCTTGACAAAGCGTGTTCGAACATTTTGGTGTGTAACTTGAGGAGCTTTAGGATCTTCCTCTTGGAGACACGAACAAATATTAGGCCTATTCACTTCGCGCATACGGCAAAGCCACTAGTGTGTAAGAAAAGCACTAAATCACCATAGCATTAGCAAAATCGACAGATGCAGCGCCAACAAATTGAATCTCGTTTCTCCAGCATACGGCGGTTCTTTGCCTCTTCCAATTTGGTCTTTACCTTGACAAAGTCTTGTCTGCTTAAGCTTTGCTGTTAACATCCATTATCATGGATTCGTCTTCTAATTTCGGCGGACTGACTGCCGAATTCTTTGGTTGAGTTTGCATAAATTCGTTTATTTAGATCTACTCTTTTCCTCACTTTTAAATTATCCTGTTTTTTTGAATGGCTGCATTTATCACATTGACATTTTGCAACTTTCCTATCGTTTCATCATTAATTTTACTTTGTTTCCTTACATTTAGCTGGTGTGTGGCAATCAGGATACATTTTTACCTACAAGCTGTCGGCCCTGACGGTTATCGTATTGGCTGTAATTTCAGGCCTTTTCGAATTCACTCTTGTATCTCTCCTTCTGCACCTGATTGGTTTCCATATTTACCTATGTAAGTTTTTTTCATCCCTTCTAGCGATGAACTTTCTGCTTCTCCACTTCTCGACCAAGTGCTTTGATTCTCACTTTAAAATTGTTACTTCTTATCTTGTTTCCATCGTTTGTTAATATTTAATACGCTTCGCCTACCGACATAACTTCTACCTGGAACATTTAAACTCGTTTATACTTCAGACACAATTATGTTTGCCATTTTTCCCACTAAAGCTAGAAAATAAAGCATTTATGTATTTAAACACAAACATCTTGCTTAACGGTAGTGAATTAAGCTTGGTACGTCATGCACTACAAGGTATTATATATTAGGTTAATACAGATCCGAATGGTTTTCAGGCACCTTTCGCAACGATCCATGTCAAGTTCCCCTCTTGTGAAATTCAAATTCAAACGGATTTACTGGAAAGTTGTGGAGTACGACATAATCAGCCACTCGATTTTGTAAGAGGATTCAAGCAGTTGCGTAGTTTTGATAGTTATCCTCCAAACCTCGATGCCCTAGGCTCCATGCCCCAGAGCCTCCGCGATTTTCGAGACCTATTTTGCTACAAAATTGATGCATTCACTATTTTCCATATATTAGTGTCACAACCGTGACTCAATAAAATCTGCATATACGACTGCTTTGTCCCATTTAATACTTCAAACCAACGTGTGGTTTTTAGGAAAACCCAGTTTCTTCCACTTTCCACCCATTACAGATTATACATATACGTATTTTTCTCTCGAGATATTCCTAAACGTTAACTTGTACGAACCAATAAACTAACCTTCAGTGTTGATCAAAGGTTTGTATGTATATTAACATCTTAAAGTTTGGAAGGGGCGGTCTACCTACGAACACACACTGAAAAAACGCGGAAAACTTCGCTCCCGCATAGAGCAACATAACATGAACGAGAGAGCATCTCCAATACACTTCAAGAGAAGAAAAATTCTCGCATGCTGCCATCCAGCAAGGATATTCCCAAATGACTACTTGAATGAGTTGAAAGTGCCAAAAGAAAATTCAACGGGCGGCACCAGCGGCCACCTAGCCTTCAGCACAAGTCACATTTCCACAATCGGAAAAAATCACGTGACTGAGTCAACAACTTCCTTCGTGACGCACGAAGTAAGTTTATGTACTTCCGACTTAACACCTAGTCTAACAACATGCCGGCCTGCATGCTACTCATTCAAACTGCCTAAGCACTGTAAATGGAATTAGCCGATGAGTCTGTAAATAAACTTTCGGGGAATCGATAGCAGGTGGGTCACCATCACTCCCTTGACAGTCCATTAACAGAAAAGCGCAAACCTCATATTCAACAAATGACCCTGCATAGCAATAAACACGCCAGATCTACCACCCATTTAAATGAGCCAGATCAAAGGCGGCTAAATAGTATGCAGGTCATTGAACAGTACTGCCATATTTACTATTTCAGGTCAGAAAGCCTCCAGAAAGGACTTCGTCGAGGGGAATCAGAAAGCCAACAACGGTTCTGTTTTCTGGTGATTCAATCGAACATACAAAGTGAAGGAAAGCCCCAGTCTTCCCGAAGTATTTTGAACTGACACCACCATATTAAAATCAACCACGATTGTGACAATCGTGCATCCATCAGGACTAGCTACGACAAAGTAGCATTCCTTGTCCATAAAAAATGTTCAGTTCTATGTCAATAATTGTTAAGGGGATACTTGTCAAGGACCGCAAATAAAAATGCACCACTCACGAGACTCAACCATTTCCTTGGAATAAACTTGGGTAGGGGGGAAGACACAACACGAAGAGAACACGGCAGATAACCATTTTAGGAATACACTTCACGTGCTGGGAACAGAAAACGCTGGGGGTTCGCGATAGACCAGACACCAAATACGGGTAGTTCAATCCCTGGTTACGAGGAGAATGCCGCACACCATGGTCTAAGTGCACTAAGAGGTGTTTGCTGAAGAAAAATCCCCAAAACTTGAGAGCCGGAGGGCGAATAGTATCAATTTCGGAATGCATACGATACATTTGACAACATGACTTCAGTTACCTTCACCAATTACGACCGCTACTGAAGTGCCGCTGTGTAACATTCCCTCGAGAAGGCACGAACCTGGTACACATACATACGTTTTATTTTAAACAGCGTTAACGACAGGAGGCTCGTAGTGATCCGGTCTCGCAACACCTTCACCGAATTCGTCGGTTTTGCCCTCTCCGTGGAGTTCCATCAAACGGCCAACTAAATAGGAGTCATCAAATAAAATTGGGGACCTACGATCTAGCTTTGGCTTTTTGAGAATTTTGACTTTGCGAACGAGGGCTCCACTAAGGGGGAAAATCGTCGAGGCCTCATTTAGAGCATCTTGTCCAATTGAATCAGGAATACTAAGCAGGTGAGATAAGCAAACGACATCTTACAGTTTTTGGACGACACTTTTCAAGTCGCATCGCGAAACCTCACGCTGGACCACCTCGACAATTTTCGCACGAAGCTTTTTTATGCGGGTAGACTGAGCATAAGCGTGAGATTTCTGGTCCTCCTGCTTTTTAGTGAATGCTATAACAAAGAAGCGTAGCGTGTAGCCATCGGTGGTCTTCACGTCCACATGAGCTTCAATTGTTGATTGCCACTTTAGAACCATTCCACAGAGTTTGTCGCGTGTGAGATCCATGCCGTGAAAATTTGTCAAACAATGACGTCCTTGAACGTCTTCCACCTGCAACTTGAACTTCCTGAAAATATCCTGAGTTTTGTCATTTAGATCCCCGAGGCTTAGTTGAATAACACGACCTTTCAAGCCCTCGCTGGCTATTTTCGTACCCTGAGTACGAGTTATAAGGGTTCGGGCGCAGACGCGGTTCGAGAACATCGTTGGAGCCCGAAGTTCGTACCACTCCTTTTTAGCAAAGGGGTCGGTTCTAAACATCAACCAATGTTTTTACATAATGTTAAACCTACGTCTTCTTTTTGCCTCCCTTCTTGGGTCCCTTCTGAGACTGTTGCTTCGACGGAGCCATTACCTTAACGCACGTCCCACCGTACCAGTAATCAAACCAGGCGCTGTGATTAAGTAAAACGAGAACGACAAATCAGTTATTTGGCTCAGAAGCCCTTTTTATTGTATTTAAATTTTAAGAAGATAGTAAATATGTAAAAAAATAAATGCTTATTAATTTTTAAAGAATTCGCAGATTACTTGAGCAAAGCTACAAAACATTAAAAAAATGATTTCATCGACCATCTAAAAGTAAATTGATTTCGTCGATCGGTAGACCTGGACCAAAAAATGTTTACGGACACAACATAGTATAGATAAATGCGTTACAAAGGTAAACACTTTTAAATAAGCACCCATAAGTGTATAAAATACCAAAATGTGTATCTGAAGAAGCATGGAGTGTGATCCATGTTAGCGACCAATATCGCCAACGAATAATTTAACTCTATATTTACGTTCTAGTTAGTAATGCTTGACCATTAGTACAAAACTAACCAGCTTTTGTTTGGCTACCATAGAACTACAACCTAATCCATGTAAATTTATGATCGGAGATTTTTTCGTTGGAACAATTTACAACGCCGTTTGTTCGCGCTATCATATTTTCCATCGATAACTTTTTCACCTTCTACATAAGTGCTATCATGCGGATGCTGATGAGATGTATTAAAATCAAATGGTAATTGCGTTCGTAACATTCTACTGCAATGATCCTGGCCTGAATTGAACAGCTTGCTTATAAAATTATGGTAATATGGTTCAAAAATGAACGCAAGTAAATTAAAATTAATAGCACTGCCTCTTTTGTTTAGAAATTAGCTTATTACCTGGACTGACTGAGGCTATGTATACACGGAGCTTAGTGTAAGCAAAACTTTTTAAATACACTGAGATAAGTTAATTGATAATATAAAACTAGCTCGAAATAACATTCGGATGTGTACTTGAACCTGAAGATAAACATTTGTTAACCCAACTTGTAGACACACTAAATGTTTAAAATGGAAACATGATTAAATTGCCTTTCCTGTTTTATCCATGTGATCAAAGAAAAAACGTTCCGTGGAGAGTGAATTGTAAATCAACCAAAGGGAATCTAAATAACATGAAATTTACCCCACCTAGTGCTCCTTTCAATTTTTATGAGAAGAAAATCTTCGTGACAGGTTCTAATGTTCATAAAAGTGGTTTTTTTAATTGCCACAATATAATGGTGATGAGATTGACCTTGGCATTAGATTTATTTCAAGATTATGCCTAAAATTTAGTTTTTTTGAATCCCGATTATTGGAAATGGGACCTATATACACATTTACTATTGCACGGTGTTGCTCAAACCTGAAGCATCAGCATGACTCTAACTCTTCAGTTTTCTATTTTGAAATATCTTTCATTATGGATTATGGGTTGTTAATTGATACCATCTCAGTATCTAAACTCCTAATTAGGGCAAAAAATTAGGCCAAGTTGTATATTTACTGAGCCTTTTCGGTCAATTTTTCTGGTTTTTAAGTTATCTATAATTAGAATAGAATAGCAGGGTTGACCTTAATCTCTTCTTTACCAAAATCGTCATCTAATGTGGTTATTGCTCTTCTGCATAGCCTGTCTGAAGTTTGATAACTAATAAACAGGACCTTATTTCCAAAGCGTTCGATTTCCAATACAAAATTAGAAGGGCTTTCCTACAGACCCGAAACCTATTTGTATTTTGCTTAAAAAACGGCCACATTTTGAATGCAAAAAGAATAGTTTGGGATGATAAACAACATGGAATCAATATATTAAAACAATCGAAGATTTTTCCAGATCAATTATTCCTGCACAAAAAATTGCTGAGATGCATGGGTGTGTTGGAAATAGAAGAGTCCTAGTTCAGTTACCTTTCTGAGGTTCGATATTGCGTTGGCCCCAGCACGTAGTCTTGAACCACACCGGGGCGACTGAATTAACTCTGGTCCGATTACGGTTCCCTGATACCCGTAATGAGGAAAAAAACCGGAAAGGACATGGACACAAACGTTTAATTCAAAGCTCAACCACTTTGGTGTAGTGTCGTGTGTGGGACTTGCGCGTGTGTATTTATACCCCAGATGTGTGAGTCATACATGCTCTAACATCGAGACCTAGGTATGAGGATAATCTAAGATAGGTGTTCGTGCGAATGAGGGTGGAGTTGAGGATCCACACAGCTGTCGACATGCTGTGAAAAGGGAAACCCTGTGTCAGAGGATGGAGCGACCGGATTAAGGAGTGTGTATAAACACGATTCCAAAGAAAATAAAACAGCGTTGGCTAATCCATTGTCATGTGTCTTGCAGCAGATCCATGTGCATCCATTTGTGATAAGCTAGTTTGACCAAACAATTATGGATAGCCGTAACTTGAACTTGTATCTAGATGCAGGCAATAAAAATTGACAGCCGAGCATCACGGCGAAATGACGCTCAAAATCTGTATGCAGATTTGCCAAGGAGAACAGCCATGATGCTGCACGGAATAATGCAGTCCTGCATGCACAAAACCTACACTTTGGGTGTGCCAGTAACTTCCCAGGAGTTCGATTAATTGCTATTTTGCGAGATGGTGAATACACTTCTTCAATACACAAGATGCTATCTTCGGAACCTGGTTACTGTTAGACGTCAACACAGACCACGAAGAACCCATACTCCCTAAGTTGAATGTCTCTGTGAGCTCTTAATGTGGCTTCATTGCCAAAAGAAGTTTATATTCTGCTAGATTGTTTTAACATCGTACCCCTTGGTGATTGTATTAGGTTGGGTATCAATGAGGCTCAGTTACCTCCTTGGACCGCAACTGCTGAATAGAATAAAGGATAAAAAACAGTTCAGCTGTTATTTTTTGACATCTACAACAAAATCATAATATATGTTTTGTGTAAGCTGTTTGAGAAAAATAATCTCAGTTCAAAAATACCTTGAAACACGAAAGCCCAGGAAACGGTGATTCCAGATTGTGAGAATTCCTTTGCTTACACTCCTTCTTTCAGGCGATCCTCCATCTCCTGCTCTTGGGCAGAAATATGGGAACCGAGAGAATGGGAAGAACACCGGGCTTCAGGAGGCGATTGGCAGAAATTGTTAGGAGGACAATCAGAAGAAGAATAAGAAGGACATTCAACGAGAAGTGGTGTACTCTCGTTGCCTCCGTCCACCACTAACGTCTTTTGCCTCGTCCAAAAGTGCATGCTGAGGGTTACAGCAAGACTCACCAACCCAGCACTAACCATTAGCCAGGCCGCTATCTTAACGGAAAGCTGTGGGATGATCAGTGTAGACATAAGAGTTTGGAATACTGCCTCATTCACGTAAATGGATGTGTTAGAATATCCGATGGGGAGGTATGTAACGTCTTTCAGATGTGCAAGTTGAGGAAAATTTGGGTTCTGGTATATTATAGCGTTGGCCTGGATTAGTTGAAGAGCTTGAAGAATAACTCCTGTCTGAGGCTCGATGTACAAGGAAATATCCATGTCGTCACGGGGATGCATACCTATTACAGCATCCAGGTAGCTGCGATCAGCCTAAGTGCAAAAAATAGTCCAAATATAGGATTATGGACAACTAGAGCACTTGGGACTGAAGTGCTACAGCTAGCAATTACCAAGTTGGCTAGGGAATATAACAAACTGAAATACGTGAAAATACAAACAATGACCAATTCTGTTCTAATGTTGTCTATAACACGGAAAATGACATTTAATTGACGACGCAAGAACCTGAATTTGAGTGGGGATGGCTACCAAACACGCTCCAGTAATTCAAAACTGTTATCCGCACAAACCCGATTCGCTTTCATTGTTACTCGATTTAAATGGAACGGGGGTGTTTCCTAGACGTTGTCAAGAAACAAAGAGCTTAAAGAGGATAAGAGGTCTGATCCCCTGCACACTGGTGGCGGTATTCAGGTTTTTTAGTCGATTCTAAAATACACTTGAATAATAACTCGTGGATCAGGAAAACAGCCATCCCCAAAAGACGAAATCGGGAAAAGAGAACCACCACTGGCCATGATCAGTCTTTCTATAACTACTGTTGTGGGAATTTGGGCTTTCAATTGTTATAAACATTGGGACGCATTCCAGTCTGGTTTAGCTGTGAAGTGGAACTTGATATTGCTTTCATGTATCATTATTTGCTTTTACGCCTCTGAGGGGCAAAGTTGGGAAGAACTGCGTTGAGTTTGCTGGTATATTTATACACAATTACTTTCGATAAAAATCGATGAAGTCAACTTATTAAATATCAAGGAACAACACTGTAGAGTTGACTTTCCATACAAGTCGAGTGTGGGAAAATGAAGAGCGAATGTCTAAGTAAAGTTATAGGAAGAAATCACGGGGGTCAATCACAGCAAGCTTTGACAGCCAGTTGAAAAAACGGTGAGCGACTTGAGTAGACCTTAAAATTGCTTTGTGAGTGATTTTTGAGCGATTACATCGTCAGGAAATGTTTTTATTAGTTCATTACTTGTTATGAAGTGGCATTATATCCCAGGATTCTCACTTGACATAAATAGGGGATAAGGTTTCGGGACATAAACTAATTTTCATAATCCATTAAGACACACTAAATCGCACTTGCTTGATTAAGTAAAACTATTCACTGCGTAAAAAAACAAGTTCATTGTTTTGAAGCCACTTAGTCACTTTAGGGGGGCAAAATTTAGGCCCATTGAGACAAGAAGCCACATCCACAGTCTGAATCATTAAATAATTCAGCTTATTAAATCCTATACGAATCACTAATCTTGTACTACCTTAGTTACATCTCTGCTTTCGTGTTTATCTTGAGTATTGAACATCTCCACACCGGAACTACACTCAACATCTCGATTCAATTTTGTCATGAATATCGCCCTTGTGTTTAGCCGTAAAGAGCATTGTGCGGTAATAGAAAATCGTACCCCGTTAAAATGCGGTAGGGAGATGGCAATCGGAGCACCCTCCATGCAGGTCCGCATATCTATTATTCCCGACTTCGGGCATTTAGGATAGTCCAGGCAAAACCCTTGGTTGTCAGGGTATTCCTCTGGCGACAGGAATGTTTGTTTTGAAAGCAGGAATCGTAATGTAGGAATCGAGTTTATGTCTACGATCTCTGGCTCGCTGATTGGGTGAAAACGTAACGACCTGCAAATATCGGCTGAAAAAACTTGAACAAAAGAAGTTGGATCCAAAAAAGGAGGGAAAAGAGATCCATCCGAACCGTTTATCTGATTCGCAGATGGGGTTTTCCACACGGATAACTCCCGAAGTCCATTAAGGGAGAGAATCTGCCCCACCCTGTTCGAGTTTTTAACACCGTCATTCACTTCCAGACTGGGGCCGACAGAGTTATTTTTACCAGCATAGAGACCAATCACTGTCCTAATCCGAATGAACTTGTTGATGAATTTAAGTGCCGGGTCCTCATAGCCCCAAATCATTTCATAAACCGTCTTGTTTAGAAATAGTTGGGAGTGATAATAGTGTCGGATTATAAAGTCTGCTACGAAATCAATGTTGCGGTTCTTTCCAGCATTATTGGCTATAGCCACATAACCGAGATTGAGAACCACCAGAACATCTGACTCCAGGCCAACAGATCGCTCCGGAATGAATCTGAGGATGTTCTTGTCAGCATATCTGACGGTTCCGTTCTGGGGAAATATATTCAGTGCATATTTGGATGTGCTCTGCTCGTAGGTATAAGGACCGACTTGATGAAGGAGCGGTTTACCACCTCCCATAAAGTCATCTATATTGGCAACTGTGAAAAAATAAAACTCCACAATCATTCCAGAGCGACTGGAGCTCCATGACTCGAATAAAGTGCTCTTTTTGGTTAGCTTCATTCGTCGATATATTTCACTGCGAATGATGAAGGGTAAAGCAATGAGTACGACACAACCAACAATTAACGAAGTAACAGACCAGTAGGCACATTTTCTCATCTCGTTTCGGTGTTTACAGGAGATAAATGCGGAAATATACGTCTCTCAAGTTGCAAGTTGTCATTAAGGGACCATAGCCAATAGCGAACGGAAACGAAAAACCACACGAAGGCTGGTTGGAGCAAACTAACGCGCGAGGTAGACTACAGCTGCTGCGTTCTATGTCACGAATCAAGGTCAATTCGCATTGGCTAGTTTTGACCTTGAATCATAACCAATCAGAAAAGGGAGATTTTAGTGTTGCGAGTTGTGTGAGGACGAATGACGAGTTACTTTTCAAATTTTTTTAAAAAAAGCTTTTTTTTTTCAAAAACTAGTGCGTTTTTAAAAGCGCTCTTCGAACCTATGTATAAATCTAAGAAGTTGATCGATAGTACCAACCGTTATTCATCAGGACCAAATTAATTGGACGGACTTGGTTTGTGGAATTCTACATCTAAGCTCTGAGTCACGAATGAATCATTATTTTAGATTCCCATAACAAATAATAGCACTCGCTTGCTAGGCGAAAATTTAACTTCTTTGTTTAGTTTGACAAAGGCGACATTGTCACAATAAACAACGGCTGATTCATGTGTTGGTAGTTTACACTTACCCACAATGTAAGATTTACTTTAACTCGTATTCTTTCAACTATGGTTATATGGCTCAAGCCTCGGAGAGTGAAGTGATGTTAGCGCCTTGAAAGTGATAATGCTTGCTAGGAACATGGTTGCATATGTACGGGGGAAATCTTTGGTGGCGTGGTCGTCTGGTCGAAAGAATCGCGTCTCATCAGACGGAGAGGTATATGTTTGCAAACTACATGCAATGGCAAGAAGGGTACTCTAGCAGGCTCGTTTTGTGACTGAACATTTCTGTAGTTCCATTAATTCCACCTTATATGTTTTAGTGACCAAATTGTTTGATTTACAATTATTCCATAACGACAGTGGGAATAACGTAATAAACTTCACCAAAGTTACATTTGATTTTGGAGATTCATGGTAGATTACAAGGTGCACATTTCTGACGAGATATTTTAAAACGGCGGATCTTACGGGACCAATCTATGCAGTTTCCTGTACATTTAATCTTGCGCTGGCTTACCTAGGGAAGGTGAAATAAATATTCAGCAGATTTCCGCAAAGAATGTCTGCAAATCATCTGGACTTACTAATTTTTGGGCTCCTCTCATATTAATTTGCACTAGTTGAGGCCAGATAGGAACTCGTTGTTTGTGTTACTTAATGATTCGAGCAGAACCCAAATATGGCGACCAAACTTTGACTCAGAACACCTAGAAGGTTTCTGCTATGTTTTTTAAGCCAGAATAGTTTATTGTTACCTTCTAAAGGATGCTGCGTGTTCTTGTGATAAAGAAACCGACGAAGTTGGAGTGAATTAGCATACTTGTAAGGTAGTGGACACTGAACAACTTTTCCTTCTTGTGGATTCCCAAATCGGTTCCATCCATGATAACCATTGCCTCGAAATTCCTCTATTGAAAAGTGTTTAGTAGCTAGATGTGCTGCGTTCGTAACTCGCTAATCTGCTGCTTCATCCAAGCCCACTAACACCAGTATAATCCGATAAACATCTGACGTCAAAATTTAACCTGAATGTGTCTTCGGATTATTAAAGCTGGAATCGAAATCGAATACATAGGCTAGTCTTTGGCTTAAGTACAAATATACTTATAATTAAGCGCAAAAGATTGCTTTAAAAAATGAAAATTGCAAAATCTAAGCTGAGTATAAGGACTCCAACCTCAGTCAGATTCGTTTTAACGGAAAACAACGGCATGTATAAGTTGATAGTTTTCGTAATGTCTATCCAAGTGAATTTTTGGTCTACTCACTTTTCATGTCTTTTTTCCGATATAACTAAACCAATTGGAGCATCACAGTGATAGTTGCTCTGGTAACAATCATAATGCTCCACGCAACATCCCCCTTGGTTATGCTGGCCACACAAAAGGCACTCCTTCAACTGCTACATCTGCCTTTATTTCGTAACTCACTTAACTGCACGTTGTGAAAGTACTTTGTTTAATTACAGAAAAATTTATGAAATAAATGCAATCTGAGTCACAGTCTGAATTGAGGTGCCTTCTTTTTTGTTGGTTGGATTGGTTCCTCTTGAACAACAATATCCGACGTTCTTTGCGATGTATCCACGTCCTGCCAGTGGGCTCTGGTAACACGTGGAAAACTAGGCAATGACAGCTTGCTTAATTCAGGTTCCGCAGTCATTATTCCGTCTACTTGGAAGGGCTGTGTGAGAGAAGGCCGGGAAGCCGGCGTGCTTTCGCCTTCTGATTGGTAGACAGCTTTCTTCAGTTTATCGAGTTCTTCAGACTGACTCTTTACCTATAATGGTGACAGCTACTAAAACCTTTTACCTGTCTATAGAGTTCGGTAATATATTCGAACAAATCGCTTCGGTGGTCAGTTGTGGGGTTGTTCAATAAGGCTAGATCACCGCTGGATGAAAATGGCTGAAATTGATTCTGAAAGATATATTATTAACGTTAATAGATTAAAATTAAGAATTCGCGAGTGCAATTGTGCCGCCCAATAATGCTTTCATTATACTACAGCCTAGTCAAATACTCAGTGAATCAAGAGGACTTGCAAGCTTTATTCTTTAATTCCGGCAGGTAGGCAGGCGGCGATGGTTAGTGGAACTTATGACACAATGAGCTTCTCCATTACCTCTCAGATTTCATCTTTTAACAATTTATGAATGACTATAGCAATCACAAACATCCCCTTTACCAGACGGCATTTTCGTGAGGAAACATCAACTTCCGAAACTAATTAAGAGGTACTAACGATGGCCCACAGGGAGTTTTTTATCAAACACCACAAGAAGACATGAAATTACCATTATGGATGAATGTGTGCGTATGCTAGTGTTGGCCAGAGGGACATGGGCAAACAAGAGCCTATGAGTCTGATGAACGGTTAAATCCAGAGATAAACACAACACTCGCAAATGGAAGTTCGAAGAAAGTCATCATATTTTTGAGTGGTTGCAAAGAAATATTCTGTGTTAATGCAACGTGTACAAGAGCTGCATTATTGAAAATAAGGAAAGTCCACTTCCTAGTAAATCTACATCTTCCAACAACGCCAAGTCGATAGTAACACAATATCCTAGACAGCTGAGTTAAGATATTGAGATACATGAAAAGGCGAATAATATCGCATTTCCAGTCGACTTAAAGGCTAGTTTATTGACTATTATCTAAAATGTCGAACTTTTTGTGTTTTTCTGAAAGTCAAATGCCCTTCGAGTCTTACGGAGTCTGTTATACAGTTTTTATAATCACAGAAGTGACTGCTAGACCATAGGCATATATTTACTGTTTATTTCAGCCCCGGAAATAATTCCATGACTGAATTCCTTTGCACTTGCTCCTAATCTGTATCTGTATTATCACGGGGTTTAATGAAACGTTTTGCTAAAATGCAAGATGTTAGGGCAAATTTATCACTTTTTGACCAATAAGTCACGAAATTGTCAGCTTAGGCGATTGGTCTAAAAAATGGTTCCCTAGTGGGTAGAAACCATAATACACAATTTACTAATGTGCATACTCAAAAAAATAAAATTAGGAGACTGTGCCGGACCCCTTTAAGCCACTTTTGGCATAGGGTGCAATTCAGAAGACTTACTTTCGTTGCACTCCGTGTGTCTGCCGACATTGACGTCCTCTTTTGCAGAAGAACATTGGATTTCTGTTCTTTCATCTTGCGTTCCAACGCTTTTCGCCGCCTTATTTCATTTATCAACTGGTAGATCAAAAACCTTTAAAACTGAGGCCCCTTACGTTTAAGCTTAACAGATTTTTAAATAAATGCCTGATACAGTCTTCAATTCAGTGTTGATGACTCTCCTAACTGACCAATTTGACTCGGTGGACAAACCAGAAAACGTTCTCAGCTACTAACACAACAAATCATTACAAGTAGCATGACTAATAACTCAAGTTATGTTGACATTACCCAAATCTATCCAGTTAGAACAAATCTCTACGATCATTAAAAGGAACGAAAGGGTACACGTTAATTCCATGGGCAGTGCCTGTCGTAAAATTATATGATTGAAGTGGGATTAAACTTGCTCATTTTTGCTTCTTAAAATCCAAGACAAATTTTAAACTGCTTTAAATTTTCAGATTTGTGTTTTCCTATAGGCAGACCAAAAAAGCTCGTCTTCTCTGTAAGGTTCCGAAGTGGTTGGTTCGCCGCATCCATTTACTAATCACTCATTATCCTTTAACAAAATTAGGTTTAAGACTTACAGCTTGCTTGCACGCCTCAAACATTTCTCCTGCATCAATAAATCGATCCTCCCATTTCCGTATTTCTGCCTTCAATTTATCCAATGCTTCATCCTTCTCCTGGTTTTCTTTAATGACAACTTCCTTTTCACTTTTAATCTTTAAAATGTCTTGTGTAAAAATATCCAACTGCTCCTTTCTTAGTGCTGCAACATATTACAGAATATAACAATTTATACGGGCATACCAATCTCTCTGTTTAGTTTGTCCTGTATCTCATCGCATCTTTTTTTAAGTTCCTCTGTGTGCTGATGTATTTGACGATTTAATAACTGAGTTTCATGGAGGTTATCTGACAATTTCTGAATGCGCGAAGAGTAAAGTAACTTAGTCAAAACGTCTAAAAATCACAACATACCTTATCTGAAGTTGCATCAGCAAATTTTGAGGAGTTAGTATTAGACTTTTCTAACTCCCCACGCATGTACTTGTTTTCTAGTTCCAGGAGATATATTTGTTTGTGCAGACTTCTAATGTATTCTGCTTCTACTGATTTTGGAGCACTGTGTACTTTAAGCAAGTCCTCTCTAGCATTAATTTAGGATTTAGGGAAAATACATACTGCTTGGCCGATTTTGTACAGACAGTAGTGGTACCTTTGGGCCAGTCAGAATGAAGTCGTATAGCCGGTGATTTGCTGGAATGCGTGGTCGGAATTTTTGGTTGATCACTTGGAGAACTCATTCCCAATGATGACACATGTTTAAAAGCTTTGAAAAGATTTCAAAAATACTGAGACTCTAAACAAGCCAAGGTTAATTTGCGGTTTGCTAAAACATAAATTTTCAAAAAAGTACCGTCATTTGAGCGAACTTTCGACCAAACCTTTTGATATATTAACAAACAAGATTTAATCTTTCTGCTACCCAAAAAAATAACAGTTTAGATCAATAGAATCATCTAAATTTTAGCAACGGCAATATTTACAAGTCAATAATTGATGGCTAATACGATTATCTAGAGTAATTCGACTGCATTATTACAACGAACAAGTATATACTGCAATTGTCTGTTCAAATGTTACGACATTTAGGCAAAAAGTAACTGCAATTTTTACATTTAAAATTGTAGCGGTTTTTTAAACACAGAACGCCAAAAAATCCGTCATGCATACTTCTTATGTTGCATTCCTGTGTTTGTTTTTACATTACAATTATATCGAAGAAATGGGAGTTGAAAAGGAAAAAAGTTGGCACATTTAAAGCTACAATCCAAGTAATTTATTCATGCTAAATGATGGAGCATAATGACTTAGTGTAATAAAAAGTACGACAAAAATTACTTTTACAGTATCGTGAAGGGTTTTTCGTTAAAATCGTATTCCTGATCAGTCACCAAGCGATAAGTTGACACAATAGCATAAAAACAAGACGAACTATTCCATTCATAAAATACAAGAAACACGAACGCTGATGTTAGATGTTAATTGGTACAATAAATTGCATAGTCAGTTAAAGAAGGTAAAGAAAAGCGAGTTTAAATATTTAAAGCGCACTATATTAGGTTAAACTTCAAACATCATTATCACAGTAAACACTACTAAAAGTAGCAGAGCTATTAGTATTACATCTGAGTTGATGTTATGGCTAAAGTTCATGTGACATTCTCCACACTATTTCTATTGCTAATAGTTTTAATTATCTTTCAATACGGCCTTTTAAGTTTAACCAGTAAAATATACTTCTTCATTAGACAGTAGACGAAATTGGTAAAAAACAATCGAAAATTGAAATCAAATAAACAGAGCGGGGCGTTCGTACGTTTATCAAAGGACAAAGGGAAAAAAATAAACAAATGTTTTTGTGCTTAAAAAACCCAGTCAGTTAAAAGCACTCTGTAAACCTAAATCAAATTCATTTTATAAACTTTTAAAAATAATAGCGACAGTACTTACCTTTATTTAATACAGTTATCAGGAATTTCTGGGATAAGCATTCGTGAGAGAATAAAGAAAATTGCTACTTCTTTTAGTGTATATTAACAGAAACTGTGATCTTTTAATTGTTATATAAAATATTTATGGGTGGTTGTTAAATTATAAACATAGAGGAACGTTTCCAAAGAAGTACAATTATCAAAAACAAAAAGTAGGTTGAGTGTCATCACCTATTTCAGAAAAAAACCAGAAAAAAAAACAGAACACTTGCATAAATTTCGCCTACTTTTATTTACACCTTTGACCCACGTAAACATCTAATCAGACGCTTAATGATTCTTTACCTTTTTACATTCATTATTAAACATGGGATTTGGTAATAAATGTTCTGCTCTCTTTAAAGTGTAATTTGATATGCGCAGACCAAGTAGTTTTTGATTAAATATGCACAAACAAGTTTCAATTGAATGATAATTAATCAAAACTGATTATGTTTCATTAAAAACTAAAAAGTCATAGGTAAAATAACGAGATTTGACCTTGTTTGCTACTGCGAAGCATTTAATTCCAAAAAATATCCTTTTAAATTAGCGGTGAAATTTGTTAATTGTTATTTGGATGGTACGACGCCGCGTTTAGTCATATACCTAATATTAAATTATAGAACTGGCGCCAATTAAGGGCAAGCCATATTTATGCAATCAAAATAAATTTGCTTTTACGGGGTGTCACAACCATTGACCAGCAGCCACTTTAAATAAGCCAACATTATGTAAAGAAATTTGGAATCAAAGGAAATTGATACAATCAGTTCTATCTTTGACGAGGTTTTTTCTAAATTCTATAACATTTAAGGCTCAAACAAGTGAAATATAATATTTACAAATTAAATTTTTGCGAACATTCATTTTTATTTTCTAGCCTCTGGTATGAACGTTGTCAGAACCGAGTACTTAAACAAAGTAGGCAGATGTAAGTAGGCGGACTTTAATGTTGGTCCATAGGACAGAACTTTCCAACAGCGAAAGTAGTGATTCATTATACCTGCGCTTTCCATTTCATTACCAGATTTTTCGCTTTACCGTTGCTGACTTTCGAAGAAGGCCATGAAAGCATACCTGAACTGAAGATGGTCTGAGCTCAATAGCTGATCGAATATATCAGCACCCATATTCGACACCACGCATTATGGGGCCAAAATAACCTTAAAATTACGTAATCACGGTTATTATGTTCATTAAAAGACTTACAGGTGTTATTATATCTTTTACGAAATTGTGCAAAGCATTTTGTTCCACTTTGTGATTTGCTCATTTTGCAAAATTATGGATGTATGACGTGTCAAATAAGTGTGATTTCGTAAAATGCCAAATCCCATGCTCTTTGAGCTCAGGTTAATATTTTATGCTTATTTTTTGCTGTGCTTACGAAGATTGAGAAATGTCCTTATTCCTTAGATTTATAACTTGGTAAGTGCTTAAAGAAGAACCTTACAAGTGCATTCTGCGGATTAAATTCGGTTTACGTTGACAGGTTTGATTATTTATGCATTTTGCAATGGAGGGGATAAAAATACTTATGACATCGAATTACAGAATTTAAGCTATTTTTTAGTTGCTTGATAAAATTTGTCGTCCTTAGTGTAAAGAAATCTAAATTCGTTTGTCTTTTAAGTGATTGGTGGATTTTGAGGCAACATGAATGGTTCCCTTGTAAAAGTGTTTATTGACTGTCCTCATTAAACGGCGTCTCGCACTACCAAATCTCGTGGCTATTGCAAAAGAAAGATATGTACGATAGAGCCAGGTTTACTAGCATACCGTAAGTCAGATTTACAGATTAGCCAAGGCCAGCGTGGTCCACTATGTCTGCACCATTATACATCGCAACTGTAGAATACCCAAACCTAAGTATGAATACTACTGGTGTAGGTTTCGGGCCCATGGTAAGTACAAGCCTGCGAGGTAACATGAATAACTTTACTAGATACAGAAAGCGCTACAGTCTGGTTACTCGAATGGGGAAGACAGGGGCTTTATTTATCCTTGTCATGGTCTTCCTGTTCTCCCGTTGGTCCGTTTCGCGGAGCTGCAATGGAGACGAAAATCTTGTGAGCGGATTGGCTCTCATTCCCGGGCGCGTCATTCAATGCCCGCGTGACGCCATACAGCCAGAAGTCGCAACCCCGGTCACATGACGTCGCCATAATGGTGTGCTTCTCACCTTCGACCAAAGGATTAACACCAATATGGCTGCAATCTGTCACGCCGCCACACTGGAACAACAGATCAGGCTTTACTGACCAATCAGAAGCCAGAACCATATGTCAGGCGCCTTCCATCCGAGTCCACCACGCTGGCCACGCCGCTCATTATATACTGCACCTCAGTCGTGTCCTTCTCTGGCTGGCTGTTTATCTTCCTTGCATGCCATTGGAACTCAGAGAGACGCAGGATTGGCTGCAGCCAGGTGGTCCAATATGTCTGCGCCATGATTCGACGCCACTGTAGGTTTCGGGCCCATTGTAAGAACAAGAGTGAGAGGTAACGGATAACTTTACTAGACACAAAAGGCAC